TAGCAGTGAATCCCAAGTTTATTGTAAAAACAAAGGCAATGGAGATTATAGGACTCAGCCCATCCAAGAAAGCATAAATACTTAAGGAAAATGCACAGAAAGAGCAGATTGCAGAAGAAACTATGGCAAATGCCTACAAGGAGTCAGGCAAGATAGCAAGCACTACTCTGAGGAGCCCAGCCATTCCGGCTGTATTCGTGAAACTTCCCATAATGGCAGGGACAGCTTGGGCCATGCAGATTCTGTTTACCTGCCATCATCAGGAACAACACTACCCTTGGCTGAAACAAGGAGGACACAAGCAAGCTGATGTTATGCTCCTTTATGAAGAGTTGTGCAACTAATTAATTCCCACTGAACTCAGGTCACTCTGCCTGCAGCAGCACAAAGGCAGGCAGCAACAAATACCCTCAGAAGACAGGTGGCCCTCAAAAAAGCTGGAGAGCGCTGAAGCCACATCAAGGAGCACAGTTTGAGAAGACCCACCTTCCTAACAACGCCACTGGCTTGTAAGGGTGCTCGGCCAGCTGCCACGTCCAGCTCAGTCCTGGCCTCAGGCATCGGCTTGCCTCTCTGGCATGTGGTAAAGCTGCCCTGTGGTGCTGAGGGTGCAGAGCGGCAGGTTTTGACTTGCTGTGGCTCCCCTTCATCAGCTCACTGACACTGGGACCCATTGTCCAGGCTGCAGCTGCACTGTGGTCTTGCTTTTTGGCATGGGACTCCTCATAGGGCTAACATGGGCCCCTATTAAGATCTGATCTCACCACTCATCACAAGGCAGCATACTTTATTGGGGGGGCTGTTCTTTTAGGAATTTCGTGGCAGGGGGGTAGTCCCCTCATTCCCTCTGTCCCTCTCTCTCCTATAAAGGGTAAAGATTTGCCTACTTCCTTCTGTTCCTGGCAATGAAACCTCAGCAATCTCCTGGCTTATGAGGATATGCTTCAGCTATTCCCTACGCCCCTTTGCCACAGATCTACCATGGTGTCTACAGTGCCCCTGTGAGTCAGCGATGCACTCAGTGGGGGCAGTAGCCTACCATGGAGCAGGAGGTAGGACAGAAAAAGTTCTGCTGGGGCTGGTCTAGCATGGCTGCTTCTGCTGATGATCTAACATCTAAAACTACTGCTATCAATTGTCCATTTCTTCTGAGCAAGATGGAATGAAACAACAGTGAAGATCTGAATTCAGGAGAGGGTTTGTGTAGCAGCCCAGAATGGGAAGTCCATGGGATTTTCAGAGTAGCAGCTTTGATGTAATGATATTTCCACCAATCTTTGCAGTTTTAATCATGTCTTTTTTTTTATTTTTTTTTTTTTTTCTTCTCCTATGGCTCTTGCAGTTGCAGTATGATTACCAAGTTATCCTTTCTTTTCATATTGAGACAATCCTTGCTTGTGGGAGCTGTGAACAAAACCATGAGAACAAGAACCCCAGGGGCTCAAAATACCTGTATGTAAATAAAGGGTAACACCACAGAGATTATTTTCAAAGCAATGCCTTGTTTTTCATCAAGAAAAGACTTGCACCCAACAACCTCAGCGACAGAGAAAACCAGTCTCTCCAGATGTGATTGAGATGGTATGTAATAGCTCATTAGTACATGGGCTTTTCTCCAGCCTCCCAGGTGCACATACAACCCTGCCTAACTGGAAGTTTGCTTTGATACTGTGCTTCTTCTGGTCTTCATTCTCCACTTGTAGTTATAAAACCAGGAGGCATTGCTGAGGAAAGTTATAGACTTAAGCCAGGAGGTTGCTGGACTTCAGATCCTTCATCCTTCTTGGGGAAAGGCAGCTCCTTGTGTGGGGGATGAGTCAGAACCAGAGAGCTGTACTGAACTGTCCTCTTCAAGTTGCTACATGAGGAATTTAACCATTTAACCAGATATATTTCTACCTTCCTTCCTGATGCATGGCCTCTGAGATGCAAGAGACTTAATGAGTTAGCTGGAAGAGGTATTTAGAGGTAATGTGTGAGCAAGTGATTAATCAAAATTTTCTTTGTGATCTTTACGTGATCATTATATACCACAATAAGGACGTGGGAGAGCACTGAACAAAACTACAAAAGCCTGCAAGGAAAAGAGAAATGAGGCTAGAGAAGCTTCAGTTTGGTTGATTGGATGCTGAAGACCCTAGATGGGATGAAAACATAAACCAGCTCACTGATGAGGCATAATATAACAGTTAGATTGAGTCAACCTGCATTAAATGGAATATTGTGATCCTCCTTAGAGCCCAGGCACAAAGGCAACAGCATCAGGCAACACCAACCCCTGGCACTCAGACAATAAAGGCAGCAAGAAAAACAAAAGCATGACCTTTAGCTTTGGAGAGTAAGGGCACGTACCATGGGATGATGGGAGGCTTCTCCCTAAAAAAAAAGGTGATCTACTCAGGAGTCCTATCAGTGCTCTGTACAAAGTGTGGCATGGATTATTTTCAGGTTCTGCTGCCTTGGTAAAAGAAGAAATAAGTTTCCAGAATGAAGGCAGAAAGGGGGAGGGTGGAGAAAACAATTCTCAACTGTGAAGCACAGCATATGCTAGCATGAAGCTGAACAGCTTTCCATGCAATATATTCTAGCCAAGCTATACCCACAGCTCCCCATCAGTTACCTGCCAGCAATGAGCAATTGACTCAATAATATCAATTATGTTCCTTTCCCCTCTCCTTCCCTCCCACCAATTAAGCATCTGTTAATCACGAGAAATGATCCTCTTCTTGGAAAATATGGGACAAACAATGAGATTTTGTAATAAAAGTGGAATATTATTGTAAATAATCATTAAGGTGTCCCAAAATAAGGTGGACTCAAATCATTACACCCAGAGATTTTAAGCACTGCTATTTAGCAAAACTCCTGGGGAAAGATAAGCTGATCAGGGTTGCTGGTTGATGCATACAGGTAGCGTGTGTCAGAAACACCAGCAGCAGGACAGATTTTGTCAGATCAGGACTTCTCTGGTCCCATATCTATTGAGGCCCAGACCAGCTGCCTTGGAAGCACCCACCTTTTCATTAAACTGCTTCTTCCCCAGGCAGGACTGGCTGTGCAGAAACTGGTCCCCACAGATGTTAGCCTGACTTCAGAAGCCTCCCAGCATAAGTTTCAGCAATAACCCAGACAATATCCTCTCCCAATTAACTTCAGCAAGTTTCTTCTAATCTGTCTCATTTGCTGCAATTCAAACTCATTACTACTTCCTCCAGTCATACCTAATGCAGAGAATAGCAACCCCTTTTAACATATTTAAAGAGTCATGTCTTCTTATGTCTATCCTATAGGCAAAACACCAGTCTCTCCAACATTTTCTCTTGGATGTATTTTCTACATTTTTCATCATTCTTATGCCTTTTATCTAGTATTAACATAAACAAAGAGACAAGATGATTTGATGTCCTTAAACAGGGCCATACAGTACCAATAAGAATAGGTAACACAATTATGAATTTTCTTTAAAAGGCCTCTTTTTGTTACCCGCCTCATTCTGCCACACCCTTTGATTTAATCCACTCAACAGAGCAGGCCCGAACACTTGCCATGAAAGTTGCAATAGAACTACCCATGGCAAGATCTGAGATTACCGAGGCATGAATGAAATGTATCTGTGATAGACTTTTATGAGGATGCTGAAGTGACAAACACCTTGCATAAGGCAATGTCATACAGAGCAGAGGCATACAAAGAGACTGAATCCAAGTCACAGTATAGGAAACTCAACTCTAACCTCCTACTTGCTTCACTTTACAGTATTAATTATTTAATTAATTGGGTTGACCTCTCACTCCCTGAATGAACAGAATCCCCAGTGTATAGAAAGCACCTTTACCTACCAGAGTGTCTAATGATGTGCTGTCCAGACAGGAACAGCCCTATCTCTGCCCTATATATCTGCAGGTGCCTGAGTTGAGGGAATCATGGATGGAATGAAATTTAGCAGCTTCTTCCCCAGGTTAAAACCTCAGTGCCCACAACAGGGAAGAAGGCAACCACCACTAGGACACTACATTTCAAAGAAACAGGGATGATGAGACTTACTGCTCTGTCTCTTTGGAACAAATGCCCGCATGGCTTTCAGTATTGCTGAATAATGGGCAGTTGCCTGTTTGATTGTCAGATGGAAGCAGAAAACCTACCTACCACTGCAACTGTACAATAGACTTTCTAAAACGGCCATCTACTGCGGCAGCCTTGGCTGAGACATTCTTCATTGTTTAGCTGAACTTCCCACAGCAAGCACAGAGGCACCAGATGAATGAACAAGTGTGTACCCATCAAATTTTCAACCTGATTTAATAGCTTCTTACCAAATATGTAATTACATGTTTTTCCATACACACTGGAACTGTGTACCAAAGCAGGCTATGAAGTTCACCTCTGAATTCAGAAGACTTGGCCCAAATCGGTCCTGGACTTCCCAGCTAAGACGCGTTGGATATTTCTTAGCAGAGTGCACCATGTCTTCCTGATTTCCAGGGGCTTTTCATGGCAGGAATCAGGGTCAGCACAGGATTGCAGCACAGGACAATCACATTCAGTTCTTCTCTGCTCTACCCCAACCTTCATCCTTCCTGTAAACCTACAGAGACTATCTGCTACTTCCTTCAATTTACTTCAGTAACTGGATTCTCATCCACCTGCTTTATGATTTTGTTTGCTTAGAGGATTGATATGTGAAGTGATAATTAATCATCTGTACTGGTTTATCATCCTGAAACCTTAGTGCCCATGGATCTGAAGGCGCTGGTCAGACTGCTCAGGGAAAAGACATCTAATGTACAATATGCTTTTGGAATGAAAATCTCAGAAGTTTTGTCATCCTTTTAATGGCAATAATGAAGATGAAAACCACCAAACTACCTCTGAACATCCTGTCCGCAGACAGCAAGATAAGAATTGATCAAGACTGCAGAAGAGCTGACACCAACTTTAACTCAGGGAATAGGGAAAAGGGGGAATAAAAAACAGAAAGCCAGTAAAATAAATCAAGAGAATTTTTTACTTTAATAGCAATTTATTATCATTAATAGTAACAACAAGTAGGTTTAAATTATTTTGTCTTAAAAATCTAGTGTAACACACAGGTCACTGCTACAGGTCTATGAAACCTATGGCAAAACTGTATCCCCAAATCACACCATTCTGCCTCATCCTCATAGACATCAATGGTGTGGGACACAAACAACACAGAAACAGACTGCTCTATACAGCACTTGTCATAAGGATGATCATTAGGCCTCAAGATGCTACAAGTTATTCTATAAGAGCTACTAAGTATAACTTTAGTTTTCCCCTTTGTTAGTATCACTGGAACAATCAAATATTTCACACAGTTTTTGCTGAAGTCACAAGAATCTTTTGAGAACTGTGTTTTTTCTCTGTATCTTTTCTTTGCTGCTAAAGTTTTTCTCTTTATCTTTTCACCCCTTAACGACATGGCTGCCCCATTCCAGGAGATAAAACCACAGCAACATTTGTAGTCACTCTCCACACAGCATCATATATTTCCTTCACATTCTGAAGTCAGTGCTCAGCAATAGCACTTACATTTAACATAGCTGCCAGAACAGCTTGGCAGCACACAGTTCAGGAACACTACATGCTCATGGATTAAAATCCAGTTTCTTGGGAGTTCTAGAGATTAGGTTAAACTCAAGCTAAGTACCCAAGATAGATAACTTACAGCTAGTTCAGATTTGTGTAAAGGCGCAGCAGCCAGATGCTGCAGGACAGATGCATCTTGTCATTACAGCTGTTCACAAATGGGGCCTGAGCAAGTCCTAATACTGTTCATCAGCAGCTTGCAGGTCCAGAAAAAAGTGTCCACAAGGAAGCACACGTCTTGGTGAATGTGAAGGATGGTCCTATTTCTGTCAAGCATTTAATGTGTTGAATTTAAGCTTACAATGTTACTCAATATTCAAAAGTAAGCAGAAGCTTCTGAGTGAAGCCCTTCTGGGTAGCAGATATGTGGAGAAGGAAGAAACAGAATACAGGTAAACTTTATATAGCTACTCAGATGTGGCTTGTACATGATTTCAGGTACATAAGAAGGGATGTTCTTCAGGAGCAGGCCCCTTAGATGGATATTTCTGTCTGAACTTCACTGTAGCATGTGGAATTGGGGAGCTCAATGAAAACAAACCAGTAAGCAGCTTCATGTACATCTATATCCACTTTGGATTTAGAGAGTCATGGGAAAAAGTATAGACCCAATCATAGGATAAATATATGGAGGAGGCACTAGATAGACAGATTCTATAAATAGACTCTAGTTGTTCTACAACAGCAGTTCACACTCTTCTCTAAGCAGACCCACAAGTTAAGCTCCGGGAGAAAAGGAGGTGTTAGAATTTACTGAATTACAAATAACCTTTTCGGAGTTTGCTCTCAGCTGGATCTCTTGCGAAAAAAAAAAACCAAACCCAACCAAAATAAAAACAATGCTTACAGCAAAACTGCAAAATCCTATCTTACCTAACATCCTAAACTATCTTGCTTTGTAAATGTACCTAACAGTTTATGAATATCCCACACTTACTCAATAATACCTTAATGACTTTTAACTGAGGTAGCCACTAAACCATCACCATACATTAGCAATGCCAACACAAAGGGAAAAGCTCAACTAAGATGTTCAAGAACAGTTAGCCGGCCCAAATCAATAGCATTTGCTTCCAAAAATGTAATTTTCTGTCTCGTTCTCCTCTTCCCACCCTTGTTTCACTTCCTGTTTCTCCTCCTGTCCATCTTTAACAAAAAACAACACAATAAAATTTAGCTTTCCAGTTCATTTGTAAAATGTCTTTGGGTTTTCAAAAGCAAATTTTCAACTTCTAAATGAATGTCATTTAAAACACTGAAGGACAATCTCCAATCCCAATCACTGTCATGTCAGGTGCCAGCTTTATCATCTTCCTGCACATGCCTAGGTGCTATAAGCTGTGGAAATATGCCTATATGGGCAAAACAAAAGTTGTGAAAAGGTCCCTTTCATTGTAAGTCTCATCCCATATATGTAAACACACAAAGAATCACCTGTTTAATCACTGTCTTTCAAGTACTCAGGAAGTTAAAATAAAATGGCAATTATCATTCCTCTAGCCAAAAAGTACATAGATCTATCATATCCTTGACCTTTCTAGTAGAATTAATTTCTTAAAATTAAAATATTTTTCAAAGTAGTTCTGTAGTTATGATAGCCTATATTAAAATTCAACATGAAAAAAAAAAAACAAAACATTAAGGATAATTAATACTCCAGTATTTCTGAAAACATTTCCAGGATTTTTCTGTGGTCCCTTATTACAGATCTTTTTCAAGGTAATTAAGAACCCCGTCTACGCACATCCAAATCAACCAACCAAACAAGAAAACCACAACTGAAAATCAAACACCCCAATATCTAAGTTGTTTAATACTTGTATTGCAGAAGGTACATTCAGCTGAACTTCTGTAGTGTAAACATCCAGTTCTAACTTCCTTTCTTCAACCACTTTCTAAAGTTTTAAAGGTTCTCTCCATTGGCTAAATTCTTGAATGCAACTAAAGGAATGCAAAATCTCACTTCAGATATATTGCATTGAGCCAAAACAGTATAAACTGCCCATTTCCAACATAAATACTTACCAAAAAAAGAAGCCAGAGGAGAAAAAACATGCTTCCGTTTAAAAATAGAACACTAACCAGTCTGGCGTGCATAATACTGGTTTCTTTATCTAGATCAGATACGGTGTGTATATTCCCAAATATAAGAATAAAATTGTACGAATTGCATGCAACCGTACATTGTGCAGTTCAAGCAATACTGAGGTGTTCTCCTTGTTTTTGTGAAACATGTGGATAACAGCAAACTGTAGGGTGATAACTGTAAGGCGGTCCTTGGGTTTCTTCCACAAAGACACACAAAGCTACCTTTATTAGCTACCTTTATTTTAAAAAACTCTAACCCACAACAGGGAGACTTTAAATGATGTAGCTGCAATGACTGTACTGTGAAGAATTTCTGAATTTCCTTATACATGTCTAGATTACCCATGTGGATTTTTTTATAGAAGTTCTTTAATAGAACTCCTTTTTCACAAGCCACACACCGAAAAGGTGTTTTCTGCTTTGATTAAATACAGTTGTTCATCAGATGGAAGTAGATGAAGGTAGTTTATTACATTATAAAACTAACCTCATCCTTATGAAGCATAGGTAATATACAGTTAAAGATTCCATTTAAGCATCACCACATACTAACCCTTCATATTTGTGTAAGATGATCGGCTATGAAATTGTAACTACTGAAACTGTACACAGGTGCCTTGCTGTATCATACTTATGTTATAGTTCTGTTTTTAAAACATTCCACAACCACCTCTGCATTTGGGTAATTTTCAACCATTTCACCTATTCAGCCGCTGTGTCACCACTTCTCGGTACATGATAGAGATATATATCAGCAGAAGAAAAATAACAAAGAAATCATCCAAGAACCCCAGAATTCCAAAGAGGGCTTCAGGCAGAAAATCCAGAGGTGAAGCCAGGTAGAGCAAGGCTCCAAGCAAGCAGAGGAATATTCTGATGCGAAACATCCAGAAGAGGCCCCCAACAGAAAACATCTCCCTGAAAGCATGCCGCAATAAAGTGGGCAGATCCATAATTCTTTCCATAATCTATGAAGAAATAAACCAATAGTTAATATTTTGCTTTAGCAACAGGCCCATTTCTATTACTACATTACAGATTTGGAGTCTGTTAGCTTTTAAGAATTAAAATAAAAACCAGTAAGATAAGAAAGACTTCATGGATTTAGTTATGCTGGATAAAAAGTAAGATTTAAAACATATATATTTTCAAGACACAGCCAAACTGTGTTATTCTATACTGTAAAATATACATTTAACTAATTACAAAAGACACTGGCATCTATTAAGAAGGAAAAGCAGTGACTACTAGGGTAAAACAAATGACTGAGAAAGTGAGAAACGGCAAACAAGTTAACTCGAGTGAAATATTGTTTGGAATGGAAGACAACTAGGGACTGTGAGAAAAAAACAATAAGTAGAGTATGTTGCAGTTCTTCAGAAACACAACGCCTCCTCCCCTAGTATATAACTAGTAATTCACATAAGTTTCCAAAGGCTGGATCAAGCTTCAAAGTAAACTAAAGAACCTTTAAATAAATCCATCCCTGGTTTCTTTCCATTTTCCTACTGTGACTCTGTTATCTTAGTGAGGGACTGCTCCGTAGAAAGTATTCAGGTTTTTGTCGTGAGGCTTAGGGAGGGTGAACTTTGAAATTTTATTGATACTGTTTCCTTTTCTACTGTACACAGTTTCTACACAGAGACATGACATTAAAATGAGTTATTACCAAGGCTGAAAAAGTTCTCTAGAAAGGAATTTTTTATGTGGTTAAGGCAATGCACTGTGTATAAATAAAAGGCAATTTATCTAGTCCGATTAGGGTTTTTAATGTAGACCTCTGGCATGACCTTAGACAGATTACTGGGGACTAGACACAGGCACAGAGCCCAAAGAGAGGTCTAATAGAGCCTGAAAGGTAGTTTTATTCTATCCTGGACCAAAACCATAACTGTTTTGTGGTTTAGAACATGAAAAAGAAAATTCCCATCTCACACTACTTTTCTCCATAAATTTTTCTTGCTAACATTTTGTTACTATATCCAAATGAAATGAACAGATGAAGACAAGCAGGAAAGTTACTAGTATGCATGGGCGTGCATTTCCCCTTGCGAATCAGAACATGTACGTAGATGATAGACTCACAAGGCTGACTTTCTAAAGTTCATAGAACTTCAACCATTTCTCTTAGCTATTTACCAAAAAAATCCTGGTTTCTTCATTCAGAGAGCAGAATAAAGACTGTAATATAATTTAGGAAGAAAATAAAAAAATCAAGACAGCATATAGCTTGAAATCTGAGGAAGAAAGGCACAGAATAGAACTTCAGATTCTACTAATCAATGTAAATAGATCAATCAAGTGAATATTCTTCCTTTCAGGTCATGTATTTCATTAAGTAGTTTACTGACTAATTAATAATAATTTCCAATTAATGAGTCACAATTAAAAAGTTTAACACATAAATAGGGAACTCAAAGCTTATTAGCAGTTCTCACACACAACAAAAATACAAGGTCCCATACATTTCCACAAATTACAAATAAATATTTTCAAGGTCATGTGTTTGCCCTAACTATATAAACATGCATTTCCTAAGGAAAGCTTACATAGTCCCTAAGCATCACAAAAAGAAAATTCATATCCCAGGGGAAAAAATAAAAGAAGGGAAAAAAATAATCACAAAAATGCTGTTAGTCTCCCCTAAAATCATTGACTTCCACCCAAATTTACCCAAAACTTACAGATCTGGGCTGTCCAGAGAACCTCCGGTTGTAATCGTTAACATCTTGAAATACTTGGGTTGCACCCTGCTGATCTTCACCAAAAAGCGGTAAAAACAATGTTACCTAGGCACAGCAGTGAGAGTTTGTTATGTGTGCAACTGTCTTTTAAATGCAGGCATTGTGAACTATAAATGAAATCAGTTAATTGTCAAAAATTTGTTTTAGTTGAATATTTAGTAGCAAAATAGAATTAAAATTACTAACATGGATACTCCTGCTAAGTTTTAACAAACTCCTTGCTTACAACTCTTTGCAGAATACTAATTTTTCAAAAGAGTGTTAAAAACAAACATAAGAACCCTCCTTCTAAGACCGGTTTACAGGAAATTTTTCTAAACACCTAAATGGTTTATGTTTCAGATGTGGGACAGATGATTTGGAGAATAAAGTTAATTTATCAAATTAATCTAGTTTTGTTTCATAAACTGAAAATAAAATAAAGTGACCAATGAGGCCATTCTTCTTCCATCTTTAGAATGGCCTTGCATTTCAGCAAACAAGCAGCAAAACTCATACTTTTTCATAGGGACATTCATATGAAGACCAAGGAGAATAGTACAGAATAATAAGTTATCAGAAAAAAGATATTAAAAATCATCTCTTTTGAAAGCACAGAGAATTGTGCTGCATTCTTGGGTTAACTTTCATGCAAACAGAAAAAAAATGTAAGGTCATATTCACAAATATCTTATGTTACCTTTCTGTACTGGAGTTTCTGAAAACTTAAGACTTGTATTTGGAAGCGATGTTCAGGTGAAAAATGCAGATTATCATAGGAAACAGAAAATGTGTAGCACTTCAAATTATTAGAATATTCAAAAGCTCCCTCTATACCAGGCTACTAAACATGTATCTTGTATCTGTGGAGCAGTCACATTTAGTAAATGACAGCATGAGCAGATCTACATTCAACTCCAAGCCCTGCCACAAACCTTCTGTATGACTCATGTTGTTCATGTGTACATATTTCTATTCCCCATTTATAAATCAGACCTTACTTTTCTTACTTCACAGTGTGAGAATGAATGCATAACCATGCAAGCAGTACCATGCAATTTACCCGTTACTCAGAGGAAGATAGAAGAGTATCTATATAAGGAGACACACTAAAAAAAAAAATCACTTATCTTCCCCTTTTCCTCCTTCCTCACCTTTATTTTTTGTCTCTCCCTCCTCACTGGCTACATTCTAAACCTACTCATTCTTCCTCTAGTCATACCTGGTTTTCTTTCCTTCCTCTGTGTTCTTACAGCCATTTGTCCTGCTGATACATACAATCAAAGCAGGATATACTGTATGGGCAAGTGCATGATTCATGTTATAGAAGTTCCTAGCCCTGTAGTTTGTGCACTGTTAAAATAAAGATGTACTTTTATTAAAACATACACTGTAAGACTCAGAGATCCTCAGTGTTAATGAGCTGCAGGGACATATCTCAAACTGACAATGTAAGTAAATTGCGTAGGAAGTAAGTCAATGCTTGCTCTACAAAGCTCAAATTAATAATGCATACAAACTAAAAATAGACACAAAATAAGAATTTGACATAGGTAGATTTTTTTGGTAGGGAGGGAAGGAAGGGAGAGGGTGCTTCTCAGAAACTTAGGTATACTGCCTGCTGCAGTCTTTCACAACAGCCAGGTATTTTAGAAGCAGGTTCTGGTAAAGAAATTATATAACATCCTGAACAGAAAGCATCGAAGCATCATAGATAAAATCTTACAATTTTCTGTTTTCAAATACTCCTTTACAGAAAAGTGGCTGAGTTATCAGTTCTGTTCACTTAAATTTGAGTTTCAGGAACAATCTGCAATTTTTGAGCCATTTGGCAAAGCAAAAATTTCAAAAAAACTCCTTGACCACCATCTATGTCTCACATATCCGTATTCTTTCAGCTTCTCAGTTGACAACTTCTGTCAATCTCTCTATCGCAGCTCACATGTAAGTGCTTTTTTGGTAAACTATACTAAGATAGGCAAACTAACAGGTCCGTGATTACTTGAAATATTACCGTTTGTCTGCAGATTGGGCAACGGATGGCACCAAGCCATGAGCCATACCTCCAGTAGGCAATAATGCAGGAACCTGATGAAGGTAAGTTACAGGCATTTAAAGTTCTGAGTTGAAACACCCATTGCATGAAATAACGTTACACATCAAGGAAACAACAGAAGTGTGTAAGTTAAGTTAAATCTATCTTTTCTGGTGTAATTTAGTAAACAGCATTCACTGAAGATACCAAGAACCAATGTGTGCAAATTCAATGCTATTAATGAGAAAAATCCTGAATAGGTTCAACTGCATCATTAATTTTAAGGTCTTATTTCCTGAAAAGACAGAAAAGATCTTAATCATTAACTGGAGAAGCAAATAATTAAAAATTTTACCAGTTTAAAATTTAGAAGTCACAGAAATGTCAAGAGATGTAAAATTTATCCTAAAACCCCAGCTTTCTTACAAGAGTTCTAACAGATAAGCAATATATAAAAATCTGAGTACTGTAACTGTTTTCTAAATTTGTAAATTTTTTGTTTAAATGACTAGGCATGATACATACTATATACTCCGTAAAACTACATGAATGCTGTGAAAGAATTCAACTGGGAACCTGAAGGATAGGAAGCAAAATCATACATATAAATTTGAACATCTGGGCCTCACAAAAAAGAAAGGTAAACACTTTAAGTATTGTGAACTTAGCCTTAATTCTTCAGGACTTCCAAGGAAAAAAATGCAAAACACTCTAGGATAAATATAATATCAAGCAGAATTTTTAACTCTTTCTAAACCAGTTTTTTTAAATGGTACATTTCCAAGCACTTTTCAGCCTTTTCAGTTTCTTACTAACCGGAAATAAATTATAGTCTTGTCCTTGACATTTTTAAACTAACCGCAGTTTCAGTCCTGATTGCACAGAAAAAAATGCAGCACGGTCTCAAAGTGACTGTTTATTCACAAATGTATTTTCTCAACAATTTATATAAAAATTATTTTCAATGCTGATCAGAAGAGAAGGAGTTGAAATCAAACAAAGCTTTGCATTAGGGTGACTCTACTAGTGCAAAAGTTTGTATTTCTGTTCTGGTTTTATCTTTGAGGGTTGGGATTTTTATTGCTTACCACAGAAGAGATGACCACAGTTTGTTTCTATAGGAAATGTAGCCTGTTGCAAACAGACTGGGCAGGACATATCTGTATAGAAGCGATGTCTATCACTAGCAGAAGCATCCTGCTGGAACAGAAGAGAAACGCAAAGTGTTAGAGATACTATTTTTACACAAGTCTACTGAGTTTAAAAGAAAAATAATCAATCTAATGTTCATTTACCAGAAATCAAACAGCAAAATGCAAAACTATGTGAAATGAAAGAGAAATATAATTAAATTCAAAATCAAACACTCTTAAATGCAAAAACTGATTCACTAGGCAAGTTCTTGTGACAAGCCCATCATTTTGCCTTCATTTGTTATATAACTGTGTGCTTCAATGCAATTAAATACTGCAAAGAACAAACCTCCTTGGTCCTTCACATTAAGTTAGGTTACACATGCTGAAGCATGGGTAACAACTCAGATCTAGACTGTTTCTTCATTATCCTAAGTAGTTCTGTCCAGGTAACTGAATTGAATTGCTTACTAGTTGCAGTATTTAGCATTCCCAAGCCCAAGCACAGACATCAGCTTGTGTATGTCACTGCCATGAAATGGGTTTTCTCCCCATTTTCCCATATTTGTCTTCCACATAAATATGCACTGTAGTTACAAATCTGTCGTTATTTCAAGAAGCATCATACTGAAAGACTCTACTCGATACTCTCTAAAAGTACGAGTTTTCACTCTAGGGCTAGGACTCAGCAATTTTCAGTAATCTGGTCTAGACTCTCCTATCCTCTCCTGCACATGTCAGAACTTCATGCAACCATAGAACCATAAAATGGTTTGGTTTGAAAGGACCTTTAAAGATCCTGTAGTCCAACTCCCCTGCCATGGGCAGGGCATCTGTCACTAGATCAGGTTGCTCAAAGGCCTGTCCGACTTCACTTTAAACACATTCAGGAAGGGGGCATCCACAACTTCTTTAGGCAACCTCTTCCAGTGTGTCTCCACCCTCACTGTAAAAAATTTCTTCCTTATGTCCCATCTAAGCCTAACTTCTTATAGTTTAAAACCATTGCCCCTTGTCCTGTTTCTAAAGGCTTTGGTGAAAAGTTTCTCTCCGTCAATCTTTGTTGCCTGGCTCTTATTGCTGTGCCATTGTTCTGCTACACACAGTTTACCAGTCTAAACATCTAACCCCTGTCCTGTGGCAGCAAGCTGTACTCCAGATTTCCTTTCCTTTACCAAAAAATTCGCAGGAACACTGCAGAAAGCACACAATGTAATCTAACATGCTCCACCTTGTGGCAAAAACTTGTTTGAAAAAAGAACCAGCCAAATATTTAATTTTAATTACTTATCCATAAAAAACCCACCACCCTATGTTATAGTATTACTTGATAAATTTCAAGGATGTCTGTGTACAGTAAGTAAGTTTCCGTAACTTTCAAGACCAGCTTCTTCCAGAACCTCAAAAAAGTCTACAGTACCCCAAACTAGATAGCTGAATGATGCCAACACTTAGCACAGCACCTGCTCAGTTTGAAGCTGCTGACGAAGTGCCCGTACTAGCTCTTGATTTTCTGGGTGTATGTTCTGATGTTCATTTCTGTGAAAGGAAATATAAGCAATATGAAAAACTGATCACTGTGACACTGCACTGAAAAGTAACTGATTGAAAAAAAAAAAGAAATTTGAACAAAGGGCAAGAAATCATTCTTTCCTGCTATAAGGGATTTTAAGGAAGTACACAAATAAAGAAACAGGAAACTCATTCTAGATCCTAAAGTTACTATGGACATTTAAAGCTGTACAGCAGCAAGATTTTTCAGAAAGACTGCATAATCAATCATTAAATCATGCTAAAACTAGATTCTAATCTGAAGCAAAATTAACCCATTAACCTGCAAAAAATCAAATTGCTTGAAAGCTTTTATATTCATCATGCAGAAATATTTTTAGTTTTTGTCTTCACTGCTAGGTTTTGTATTGTTGGTCTAGTTGTAAATTTCTTATTTTTTTCACTCACTGCCTAAGTTATAGAGTTGAAAAATCCTAATTATTTCAATTTTATCTTCTACATAAGAGATTAAGACATAACATTTACATAAGAAGGGGTAGTCAAACTCTTAGATTTAGAATGTTGAATTTATGTAACTATCAGCAGACTGGATGTAAAAAGAAATCACTCTTTTTAAATCACTCTTTAAAAAGAAAGATTCTATGGGCAAGAAAACTACAGGTTAGAGATGCCAATGGGAATCAGAGGGAAGGGACTCACTGAAGAAAGGAGGCTGGATATATTACAACTTTGAAATTCAAAAGCACAATGGGAACATAATTGGAATTAAAAATTATGCTGGCAACATTAAGAGGCGTTGAGTTACAATAAATATGAGTCAACAGCATCATGTTCAAAACTCTGAATTTTTTTGCTTTATTTATTCATATGAATTTCACTGGTGATACATTCTGCTCAGCACCGTTGAGGTCTCAGCTGGATTCTGTTTTCCAATTTGGGATAAATGCATAAAAACACATAGAGAAGTTGGAGGAAGTTCGGGAGAGAGTAAGAACTACTGCCCACATTTTTTAAGTATTAGAGAAAGAGTGAAGAAATGTTGGTTCATAGAGAAGACTACTCATGGAGAGAAAAGGAGACAGCATAAGGCTTTCATTCTATAAATATGAGCAATTATTTCCCACAGTTATCTAAGGCTGCTGGAAAAACTGCTAAGTGTACAAAATCAGGGTATTGTGATCTATCTTTGACGAAAAGCTAAAACAAAAAACAGGTTACACTGCTTCCAGGGATGATCTAGGCAAGCTGATCATCTGTCAGAGCTGAGTGCTGGACTGGCAGAATTTCTACGACATTTTCTGATTGCAGTTTGATTTACATAATTTCCTCAATGGCTCTAGGAGCTTCTCCAATATTTTCCTTCATTTGATGTAGGCAATCATAATAGTGCATTACTGCTATCTTTAACATTTGTGTCCTTCATTCTTTCTTCAGAGAGGAACAGACAAATCCCAAATTTTTCATACTAATAATTACATGGTTATTGGTAAAAGGAAATTTATTTAACACTAATGTGGGTGACATATGAAAGTTGTGTGATGGGAAGTTTACATTAAAATCCTTCTTGCCCACCCTGGGTCTCCATTAGTCAGATTTTGTGGATGTTGTCTGTCATACATGCTATATGTATAAAAGCATTTTCCTGCTTAGATGCTACAAATGAGCATATATTGCACTTTCAGTTTGCCAGAACTTTGATATATATTGAAATTCAATTAATGTTGAATATCTGAGAGTATTGTATAGCTGTGGGGTACAGTATGTAAAACATCTGTCACTTATGCCTAATATGCTGAGGTAACAGAACACTGTGCAATGTCCAGGAGGGGACAGGCAGAGCTCAAGACATATTCAATTCATAAGTTCTGTCATGCAATTAGTGTCAGAAAATAAATGAAATAAATGAAAACCAGTATAGCCCTATGTAATTAAAGGCATTCTTTCCTTCCAGCTTGTGTTTGATAAAGTTAGATGTGGAGTTTTTTAATTTTCCCATTTCTGAGTGTTAGCACTCCATAACTTGAGGAAAGAAGTCCCATGACATGGAAAGATTGTACTATGTATTACAAAGGTCCTCACAAAGCTATCATTACTGGAAGGAGGAAGGCTGCCTAGTCACCCAGTGTGCAGCCTCACACAGGGAAAGTGAGGGACAGTATATGGGGACTGGTGTATTACTGTGCAGTGATGGCCATTGTTAGATTCCAAGGATTAAGATCTCACTTCTGCTGAAAATACTGAAAATACTTCTAATCAAACCATATGATAGGAGAGAAAAATGAGAGAAAAAGATCTAAACCTGAAGATTCATAAATATGCGTTAGGTAAGTTACCTGGGACAAGTAGGCAATCTCCGATACAAAACACTGAAGGGTCAGACTCCCTTTAATTTGTTGGATAAACTAAAATTTTACAGTCTCATTTGTAATGTGACAACTTACTCACAAGTTTAAAAGATGATGGAAAAATTCTGGCTGCATTTTATCAAAACTTATAACTCAAAGACATACAGGCTTTGCAAATGTATCTTGCAGTGACTGAACTAAACATTTGCAACTTGGTATATATGTTAATTACTGCTAATAAGTTTCTCCATCAAAAGCACAATGACCTTCAGCTCATGCCCTGATGTGATGCTTCACTGAGTTCTCCCTGTTGGAAACAAGTACGGCAACCACATCCCTTAACAGTTATTTCCATACGCCACTTCTGTCCCCTAAAATCTACTGCAACATACACTCCTTGATGCCTACTTTTCCATTTTATTTAGTTCCTGCAAACTTATTCAATACTCTAAGATTTCTTTCATGTATTCTTAAGCAGGATCTGATCCTACCCAACAAGTATTTCAGATGTTACAAGAGTGTGGGTGGTAAAGAGACTGGGGTGATGGACACAGTATAAGGAACACACAGACCACTGTATTGTCTAAGATACCTAGAGAAGAAAAAGACAATAATCCTTTTCTCCCTTGCTCCTCCTTCAGTAATAAATAAATAAAAATTACCATACTTTTTGTATTGTACAGATTTTCTACAGTACTTTGCAAGTTTTGATGGAGATAATACAAAGGAGGTAAAGGAAAACTGCTGCTGAATACAGACAATTTCAAAAGGTACCAGAGGCACAGTGGAGAGCTAGGAGGATGTTGGTAGGACTTTGAGTAGTCAGTCATATAATACAGAAAGAAACAAGCTTCAAGACTTCCAAAGTATGGATGCTTTGTGTCCAAGTTTGTTTGCCCCTCCAGACAACAACTCATCAGGGCATGTAACAGGATCCATAGACAAACTTTTACTTAGCTCATTACACTGCAGAGATAGTTACCAACCAGCTCTTTTCTCCCTCCTCAAGTAACCCTTCATCATAGATGTAACATCTCCCTGAACTCCAATCTTGAGTGAACATCTGCTACTCTTCCCCACTGCTGAGCCTTGTCCCATTAATTTTTTTTCATGTTCCTCACTTACTTTCCTTTATGAAGTTCAAAATTAAATGTTTACTTTTAAACTAATCACTTAAATTTCAAGTCAGAAATGCTAAGAATGTCAATATAAGGGGTAGAGAAAGTGTAAGAGAGCAGAGGAAAAAGACGCACTCTTGAAATCAGCTGAATAACTGAAACATCCTTGGAAAGAAAAGCAAGGTGAAATGCATACATTTCTCTTAGATTCCTGGTCCTGAACAGAAGCACTGCTTTGCAGTCCAACAAAGCTTTCCCACTTCTGGTTTCTCTGTAGCTTGCTCTCAAATACCTCCTGCCTTGATAATACTTCTCATATGGACAGACCCTCCTCAGTAAATTCCGTAACACCAATGTATCACTAAAATTGAGTTCTCTTAGTTGTTAAAACTCTTCTGTGTTCAGAAGTCTACAGACATTCATTAAAAAATAAAGGGTCAATTTGATGCTCAGACTTATTTTCCCATAATTTATAGGCAAAGGTATTTGTTAGGTTTCAAGGAAAAACTCTGAAATGAAAAATAAGCTTTGAATACTTGAACATGAAAGTTACCGAATTCTGAACTTAATATTTTTACTTTATGGAAAGCATATTAAAGTGCATTGTTTTCCAGCATATCCATTTATAAACAACACAGTCAATTTATTCATGTTTGGGTGTTTGGGGTTTTTTTGTTTGTTTGGTTGGTTGTTTTTTTTCCTTTGGAAATAGCCTGCAACTAGAACATACACTGGAGAATTATATCCAATCTTAACTGTGGAGTCATTTTTGACAAACCTATACTTTGACCAGCCATATAGACTGTGATTTCAGCCATTTTCAGTCTTAAAGAATGATGAACATTGTTCAGTTTGATCATGTGAAGATAAGGAAGCATTAAATTAACTTTTGAGAAATGCATTGTTTCATTTTAACTGTAAATTAAATTATGAAACTCTGCCAAGCAGTTAATTAAACAGAATAATTGATCAAACAATCATTTCCTTAACATTGCAAAATAACAGCTGTTTTATATACCAATGTAAAAATTTGTTGAGAAAGTTAGAATTTTACAAATACAGGTATTTTGATTAATTCCTGTCAACGTATTCTCACCTTAAAAGAGTATATACCAGAGCAGCAATGAAAGTGAAACTGAGCACAACTGCCACCAGTACCTGGTCACTTATTCCTTCTATAACTGAATCATTATCTAGCTTCAAACTTTGAACTTCTGCTTGGTGACTGGCCATCACAACTCTAAAATGTAAAAAGAAACATACACATATATAGATATTAAAGCATACACATGCACATATACATTTCAAACATTGTTACAAATAATATGCATACGCATCTATTCATACACATGATAAATTCCTGAGGAAACAGATTAGTCATTGCTGAGGGAAAATAGTGTAAAAGAAGAGGCAACAGGTGCATTTTTACCAAACACTGAGCTTGCTGCAGAGGACTGAAAAACATTTGTCTTGCGGAGTAGCAAAGAAGTCTTAAATGACTGTGTTGTGATTTAAAGATTTTTTTTTTAACAACATGAGTCAGATTCTTTACCTGGGAATATAACTAGTCTAGGAATAGCTCATTGCTGAATTGGACATATTCTAAGGACAGCTCATTTTAAAAAAGTATAATGACTCTGCATTATCAAGAATTTTAGCTATTACACAACACATCATTGCTTCTAGCTGAGACAATGTACACTTTAGAAACCTAATTTTCACCACTTATGTGAAGAAAGAAACAAGGACATATGGGGTTTATCTGTTTTTAGAGTGCTAAATGCCCATTTAGATATACAAGAATCATAGGATGCACTTAATATTTTATCTGTCTTTTCTATGCATTACCATTCTTCAGCTGGAAACATGGGAAAAACTTGAAAGAAAAAGAGTATTATCAGGGTTCTCTAGTTAAACTTGTATGTTCTATATTTATTTCACATATGCAATGATCAGAATTACTTGTCAACACTAACATTTATTAATCTACATCTGGACACAAGCAAAATAAAACAGTTTTCAACTCACTGGTAAATCACTCCTGTTGCAATCAGGAAGTTAAATGAACTACAGCTGTGAATATTATGAAATCAGGAGACTGAAGCTAACTCTGGCAAATGACCAGAAAAAGTCATATTGAAGCAGTCTCCATACACAATTAAAATATTTTTCATACAGAGCTGACATAAAATCTCAGCATCATTTTATGAGGTTAAATAAGACCAGTATCATTTACTTTACTTGCTAGTCCAGTGTGTGCACGTTAAGCTTGAGGGTTTTCATCAGTGTTTCTCTCTACTTCGCAGTTCATGTGTAATTTTTAAATGTAAACCTTGCTGCTTAGCAAACATCACCAGACACTGCCTGGTCCTGAATTAATTGCAAAACTGAAATGGAATGCAAATCATTGGGATTTTAGTGGATACCTGCAATGACCACAACATGTGGTCAACATGACAGTCTACTGCTAACATAGAAGTGTCCTCTTTTCCATAAGATAACTACTCTCACCCAGCAGATCTATTCTTGTATAAGTTAGGTATTATGCACTTTTTTTTTTTTTTAATTTATTTTTCCAGAAATACAGTGTGGCAAAGACATATAGATGATTTAACTGCGTCTTTGGAAGGCAAGTGTTTCTCACACTGCACCTGAAAGGCTTCCTATGTTACTGCTTGCTTGGTGCACTCTAAAACCAACACATGAATTGTCAGTATCACACAAAGTTAACTCAGTTTCCCCGAACAGCCTTCAAGACATACTTTCTAGAGCTCCCTCTCCCTTTCTGCATGTTCCTTGCAACAAGTCTTAATCCTTATTCATCTACCATTAATAGCACTCACTACATCTGCTTGCCTCCATTTCTGCTCATGCACTCTTCATGAAATACTAAACTATGGTGCCAAGGTTAGCAGCAGAATATAAATAATACACAAGACCCCTACCTTCTCTTCCTTTCTGCACATAATGCCAGATACTTATATCTACTTCATCCCTTACCTTACCACATATGACTTTCCAAATAACCATTTTCACACAAACTTAGTGTCCAAAAGAAATTCCTGCAGAGTTTTTCTGGTTAAATAAAATGTCACTTCCGCAAACACTTTGTCTTCATTTATGTATCAATACTTCCAAGATGTATAGAGGGGGGGAGGAGAATCTCTGTCTCTCTCCCAGCTGCTTCTATTACTAAATTCTAGAGTGACAGGCTGCCAATGCTTAAGTCTCAGGTTGTTCATGTTTTAACTTACTTGCTGCTTCTGGACAGCCAACAAGTGCTGAGAATATTCCCCTCATTACCTCTAGCACTTTTTTTGAATCAGATCATTGCACAGGAGTACTGCTACTAATTGTGTAAACTAGGAACTACAAACAGAAGGGTTTCACTTCAAAAGATCAATACATACTTTCTCAGAATAATCATCCAAGCCTCAGTAGGGGCAGTAACAATCTCCTCCTACTCTTATCTCTGGGCTAGCATGTGAAAAAAAGCAATGGTTACAAGGAGAACACTGCTAAAATACACTATTTGAAATCTGACTGAATGAGGAATGAACTTTGTGATATCAAGTCTTCTTTCTCAAGTTTTGAACATTTGCAAACAAAATATCTAGAAGTGCAAGCTTGCAGTTGATGTTTCTCCAGGTGCAACCACAACAGCCAATGAACACATCTGAAGTGGTCTGAATGCATTATAGACTAGATAACACTCCTAAAATAGCTGCTGAGAAATCTTGCTTCCCAGTGTGTGTGTTTAGCAGTGGTGCTCTTTCAATTGGTACAATTAATAAGCTGGCTACAGTAGACTTGATTTTTAAATGATGTAATGAAGACCCTTCAGTCTTCAGAGACAACCACCGATGACAAGGACTGAGTATATGCCAGAAAAGACTTCAATAACCAGACTTTATCACAGACATCTAACCTCTCCTAAAATAATAACTGTTTATAATTTTATGTCATTTAATAGCAACTTGATGTGGTTTGTATTAAACTCAACATTTTTATGTTGATACATTATATTTGTCTGTTTACGAAAAAATAACAGTATTTCACCAACCTTTTCATCATGTAATCCTTCTCAGATCAGCATTGTACACCACAGGCTTTTCAGACATTACATAATTTTTTAAATCACCTTGTTTATTATCAGTTTTCCTGAAAGTAATCACTGTCAGAAAGCAACACTAATTTACACACATTTCAAATAAGAATCTGTAGGCCTTAAAAAAGGAGAACTATAATGATCAATACTGTAGTTACAATGTCTTTTATTCTTAGAAACTCATACTGATCACACTGAAATGTGAGGGCATGAGGACATACACTAGTGTGGATGCATTATTTCTTAATTTTTCAGATTTGAAAAGTGTTATCAAGACTCTCAATATCCAAAAGACAGCACAGATAGAACAATACTCCATATACCATGATTCATGAAGAAATTAAAAACAATCCAGGGTTGGTCATGATGTATTAAACACTTGTTGCTAGCTATCCAAAGCCAGAACATCACTACAGTTTTCTGAAGGATCTTAACTTTTTCAAGTTTATCCAGGAAGTACCATATGCTAATATACTCTCAAAACCACAGAGATCTTAGGACCTACTACCAAATGAATATACAAGCACAGATAAAAAGTAAGAGGCTCTCTTAAGCTCTGTGAAGTAAACAATGAGATAACACATAAGCAACAGTGCTGTGAGATACAAATTAGTAACCAAGAGCAACATTTTATTGACTGAGAGAGCATGGTACAATTTGCTTAACATCTGAAAGATACAATAGATAACAATGCGTCCTTTCAGGCATGGCCTGGGAGGGAACTGGATCAGAAAGACTGTTTTGTTTTTTTTTTGTTTGTTTGTTTTGTTTTTTTTGTTTGTCTTTGTTTGGAGTTGTGTGTGTGGGTTTTTTTGGTTTGCTTCGTTTTGGTTTGTTTTCTTGTTTGTTTTTTTCCACTTCATTTTCGAATATTTTATTCTTGATGCAGTACTGGCAACCATGTTCACTGCTTGAAAAAAATTACAAAACAAAGGCAGTGGTGGTGGGCAAGGGTGCAAGTCAGTAATTGTAGTACCTTTCACCTGTTCTCTTTTATTTTCAGAACTACTACTCCCCTCCTTAAAAATCGTATGTTTTCCAGGATAAGCTAATTTCTCTCCAAATAGTAAAATGAGTCGCTTTTTTTTTAAGACTGAAAAGGCTTTAATGCCTCATCATTTTCTTCCATGGTAAAAGGAATAAAAAAAAAATTTGGTTTCATTTGTACATTTGTATCAACAGGTTTCTAAAAAGATTGATCTGATTTAGATAATAGAAATCAAGTTCTAAGAATTTAAGCGTATTAAAATAGCGCATATTTATTCTGTAACCCATCCCCTGCATGCATATTAGCTTATACTGAAATATCTAAGGCATAAATTTAGTGATTTTCTTTAATTTAAGAGAAAAATAGACATAAATTCCCAACATAAAGACAAATTCTTAAATGTGGGGCAATAGTTGAGATATCTTTTATCAGAATTTATCCAATTACTTCCTACTTCAGGGTAGCAGCAGGTTGTGGCCACTATTTGTGGTTGGGAATGGAACTTTGTGAATGGATTTGACCCAGAAAACTGGATCCTACAGTTACTTTTACTCTCCTTCTTGAAGAGCTCAAAGGTATGCCTAGACTGCATTCATAAAGCATTAACAACAGCAGGCATTAAGCATGCATGATGAAAACTAAATGTAGAATCAGTATTGAAGATATGAGCAGGAGTTTACTAGACTAAATACTAAATCATCTAAATCCTGACCCGATACATTTTATCCAGGTACTTTAGTGTACTGAAGCCAGACTATGAAACAGTGGTGTAGACATATGTAACATTTTAAACAGAAATGAGGGAAATGACAGATGGTGTAGTCAGAAAAAGTAGTTTTGAGGAAACAGAATTTATTAGCTTTTAATTTTCACAAGCATAGTCTTATTTGAATAAAGCATACACAATAATCTCCAGTATTAAGTATCTCCATACGTTTTAAAAATCAGGAGGAGACCACCCAAAGGGCACATTTACTAAGGGAAGTGAAAAAAATAAAATCAAATATAGCAACATACAAATTGACAAGATACATTCTGTGAGAAGGTTGTTAAAACTGACTTGGTAATATCTTACTAAGATTTCGCACAGTCTGTTAATGTGGATTATGAGTCACAAATCAGCTCAGCTTGTACAGCAAAACTGTAGCCAAACTCAGGGACATCATAATCAGTTATCTCTTTACCATAAGCCACCTTTGCTTTCAGAACTATGCTGACTATATTTATGTGCATGCGTGCTCTTTGCAAAAGAAAGTAAAAAGTCTAAAGAGTCTTTTCAAAATAGGGGAGAGGGCAGTTTCAGTAGGCAAATAATAAATTTGCTCAATATACTTTAAGAACCGACCAACTGAGGCACTTGCCTGGTAAAGCAGGTTTCTGCAAGGGTTGATGTCAGCAGTGTCTGAGGCACATTTTTCCCTAAAGAGGAAAAAAAAAAAAAAGAAAGAAATAAAGAAATGAAGGGAAGAAAGAAGGAAAGAAGGAAAGAAGGAAAGAAGGAAAGAAGGAAAGAAGGAAAGAAGGAAAGAAGGAAAGAAGGAAAGAAGGAAAGAAGGAAAGAAGGAAAGAAGGAAAGAAGGAAAGAAGGAAAGAAGGAAAGAAGGAAAGAAGGAAAGAAGGAAAGAAGGAAAGAAGGAAAGAAGGAAAGAAGGAAAGAAGGAAAGAAGGAAAGAAGGAAAGAAGGAAAGAAGGAAAGAAGGAAAGAAGGAAAGAAGGAAAGAAGGAAAGAAGGAAAGAAGGAAAGAAGGAAAGAAAGGAAGTAGGTATTATACTTTTGCTGGTGGAATCATGCTTTGCAAGTTAAAAATAGTACAGATGTAAACTCCAGTTGCAATTCTGCAAGAGAAAATAATTCCAAGTTAATACACCATTCTACTGGGAAAACAAAACCCTCAAATCATTTTTCTCATGGACCTGAAACTATGTTGATGGCTTGAAGCAAAAAGACAAATTCAGTGGTCTGTATAGCATAACTATTTGAAATATCTGTCTGGGTGATACATGACCTGTGTAAAAAAATCCCCAAAGTCATCCCCTGCTTTATAAGGCTAAAACATACTGAAAGTTACAGAGTTCAAAAAAAAAAGGAGGGTGGCACTGAATTCCTATGCAGATAGGAACATGAGAAAGATGCTGTCAATGCCTTTAGTTTGGATATCTGACTTTTCTGATCAGACAGGAAGAGAAAAGAAATAATGTCACTTAATTATTATAATGTTTACTGAAATATGGTAATACTTCATATAATAAAGGCTTTAAATATCTTTTAAGAAAAGTGCCCAAGGATTCTTTGTTGTAGAGAGCAACTCTTCTGTACACAGCTTGACATCTAAAATAGACAGCAAGACAAAAAGCATTACTGTATTTGTTTGCATCAACCAAATACAAAACGTAAGGTACACATCATGACAACAGGCAAAACAGAGTGGGAAATGTGTAGAGGAAGATGTGGCAAAAAATCTTAAACACTGAAATATACCTGTGAAAGCTGTTTGTCACAAGTACCAAGCATAGAACTTAAAAGTACATATTAAAACTTGCAACGGAAAGTTATAGTTGCACAGCTTACATAGCTTTCTAAGACCTCTTAACACATTCTCGAACGTGCAAGCTACCTTTAGAAGAAGAGAGATTAAATTCATAACTTAAAAATTAAAATAGGTTATACAATGAGATCAATGAGAAGGTACTTTACCAGCAAAACTTTAGAATTTTCATAGCTTTTACAATACACTTTAATTTGAAACAGGTTGATGTAAAGGAACACCCATATTTTGTCCATGCTACTGATTTATCTAATTGAAGAACTGTGAGAAGACAGGAACAAAGTCACAGTTGCTATATCTGCAACCCTTCCTTTCTTGGCTGTTTATCCAGCCCTCATCTGTTACCAGTGCACTGTGCTTGCTACTCCATGTTGTTGCACATCAGGCTGGTTTCTAACTAATAGGGAACTGTACAGCTTATCATGATGCCCAACATTCTCATTGCAAACTTCAGATGGGCCAGAATTCAGCTGACTACTGAGAAGTTTCTTGAACTCTTCAGGCAATCCCTTTGCATCATGATTGAGAGGTACTCTGGCTGGGGCAGTAAGGACACAGAGCCACTCTGGCCACGCCGTACATTCCTGGTCTTTGAGATTAAAAATTAGTTGAATTACCTGCAGCTGATGTTAAGTAAGTAACTTTTATTTTTCTGTTGATTTTTACTTCAGCAGAGTTTTGTTGAAAGGAAGTTAATGTAATTTTCAACTCCAAAAAGAGAGTGGAAAACCACGTAGAGACTGCTCCTTCCACAAGCCAAGCCACATTACTTACTAGCAAAAGACTGTCTGTGGGCGCAGCGTCCTCACAAGCCCACGCGCCCTAAGCTAGGGACAGCTGGGGCTCCGGCTGCTGCTGCGGGTCCCTCCCGGTCCTGGCCGAGACCCTCCCAAGCAGTTCTTACCCGCCACCGGCTTGCGTGGCGACAGCCGAGAGCACACACAGCCAGGGGAAGGGATCAGACCCCGCGGAGGGCTACGGCCCCACCGACACGCCTCGAAGGCCCGGCGGCGTACAAGGCCCTCCGCGGCCTACAGCGGACCGCGCCTCACCTCAACGCCGGCCGCCGCTCACCAGCAGCGGCGGCGGCAGCGGAGTTAAGCACCAACGCACCGCATCGGACCGGACCAGGCCGGGCCGGAAGAGACGCGAGCGATACCGCCAACACCCACAGCGCCACTCGCGCCGCTCACTCCCCTCCCGCCGGTTATGGTGGGGCGGGGGGAGGAGAGCCCCGGTCCGGTCCGGTCCGGTCCGGTCCGGTCCGGTCCGGTCCCCTCAGAGGCGCGGGGAGGGGCTCGGCCGTACCTCAGCTCCCGGCGCGCGCGACGCTTGCCGCCAACTGCGGCGCCGCCAACTGTGGCCCCGCCCCCCGCGCCAACCCCGCCCCCCTCGCCCTTCCCGCGTCGTGTCGCCTCTTCCGCCCCCGCGTGACACCCGCAGGGCGCAGGCGCGCGCGGGCGGTTCCTGTCAGGTCGCTCTGACGTGTCCGCGCCACAGCCCGGCCTGGGACGGGGCGGGAGAGGGTGCCGGCGGTACCGACTCGGCCGCGGCCCTTAGCCCCTTCGGCCGCGCCCCGCCATGTTCAACGTGGAGAGCCTGGAGCGGGCCGAGCTCGGGGAGAGCCTCCTTACTTGGGTGAGTGCCGCAGCTGCCAGGCCCCCGCCCGGAGCTGGGCCGCCTGGCAGGGGCTCGGCTCCGTGCGCCCCCCGACCCGCCGCGGCCCTGCTCCGGCGGGAGAGGGGGGGCCTCACTCCGCCTCCCCAGCCCCCGCCCGGGCTGCGACGTGGCGCTCGGGCCGGCTTCAGCCCGGCTAGTGCCGGCGGAGCCCTGGCGGGCCTGCCACGCCTCGTCTGGGCGAGCCGGGAGCTGCCTGGGGTGGGGGTGGGGGATCCCTTCGCCGCCTTAGCTTTGCCCCCGCGTTGAGGGAACAAAGGACTCAGCGTCCCGCGGCGCCCCGACCTGCGGGGTGGGGGGGCCGGGGCCTGCGCTGGTGCGGCCAGGGGAAGCGCGCCCAGGTGCGCCCCCCGCACCCCGTCGGGCGCCCGGGCTCGGCGGGCAAAGTACTGCTGGTGGCTTTGGTCCTTCCCCTACGATCCGCGCCCTTCCCGGCGCGGCTCCGGTGGGTCAGTGCCGCGTTTTTCTAGTCTGCCGCCCGCGCTCGGTAGGCTTTCTGACCAGGGACTTTCTTTTTGTCTGTTTCTGTTTCTTTATTTTAAGTAGTGCTTGAGCCTCGAGAGACAAAATTCACTTGTGAAGTCTCAGATAATACAGTATCAACCTAAGAGTTACCTTTCCCCATTTTAATGTTTGGAGCTTGGTCCATAAAAGTTTTCGGGTTGTGCTATCATTCACAGAGCAGCCAAAATGTAGTGGACATTGAACTTGGGTTTGCAGCTACTCTGTAATTTGAGCAGTGACTGTAACATATCCATGAAACTTGTATTTCTGTAGCAGCTGATATATTAATTAGCTGTTTGGAACCACTGAATTTGGTTTTGGAGCTGTATGTTGTTGGTTTTTTTTTTTTTTTTTTTTTTTTTTTTTTTTTTTGTTGTTGTTTTTTTTTGTTTCCTCCATAAGCAATTTTCCAAGGAAATACCCATAATATGGAACTCAGGAGTACAACTAATTGTTGAAGAGAAACAGAGATTTTTTTTATTTTAGACATTTAGTCTGTGCTAGGCCAGAGCTGGCCAAAGCTGTGGTGGTGATGAGCGAGTTACTGAGGAATGACAGGTTAGGTTTCTCTCTGGAAGTCAACAGGGGACGAGCAAGGGAAATTCAGTGATTGTTACAGGTGATCTGAAAAGTACAGAAGGCGGAGTTTTTGGGCAGAGTGTGGCCACATGCTTCATGCAGGTCTGGAATAAATAATCCATTCTCTCTTTCCTTCGCATTCCTGCCAGCCTTTACAGCTTTGTTGTGGTTCACCACTTGTTCTGTTTTTTGCTTCTCATGCTTTCTTTTTCAGGTGTTGGGAATTAAAGTCCTCCGGCCAATGGCATTCATGAGGAAGTCAATGTATGTGAATCCTGGCAAAGAAAGGCTGAGTGAGAGGCTCAGTGCTAGCAGAAAGAGGAAGGTTTACTGGGTGGTAATGAAGGAAGATATGTTGCTATGTGTTGCTAGTTTCAATGTGGTTTAGATATGCTGCTATTGTCCTTTCTGGCAGTAAAGCAGTTGCGCCAATGGGAGAAGCATAAGCTTCAGAGCTTACCTAGCAAGTGGTTGCACTCCCAGTGCATTTGTAACTCCCCAGATTTCCAGATAACCAACAGACCAGCTCTTTTCTTTGCATGTGAGACTACTGTACTTGAACCATGTAAGCTGCTGCAGAGTGAAAGGCTGAATTTTCCCTTGCATGATACTAGCCTGTTAAGAGTGATTTGAACTGTTGATCCTACCCATTATCCAATTGCAGGTTGGACAAAATTGTTGATGACTTCAGAATATTTTGTTGAAGTATAGCATCTGTGCAGAAGTCTGTGTCAAGCCTGAAAAGATTTCATAACTAAAAATATTCCAATATTCTGTTACTTAATTATACTGTTCAAATTTCATATTGAGGTGTTAATATTTCAATAAAGTTGTTTTTAAAGCTGCATAAGGTTAAGGTGTTTGCTAGCTAGTGAGGGAAATTCCAACATACAGAGTCAAAAGACAGTGGCTGCTTCCCTGTTCTCCAAAATAATTCTTTGTACAGCCAAATAGAGTACAAACCAGTGGTTTATATGTGTTTGAAAGGATTGTTTTATCAACTTATGCATATGTTCAAATGTGGTGAAGCTGTGTTAGTTTTGATAGAAAATAAAATAAGACCCACTGATTCTTGCTCGTGGAGATGAAGAGGACAATTGTATCTGTATGAAGTCTGTTCAGTGTTAGTGAAAATGTCCACTGATTTTCTTGCATTATACAAAAAAAATTAGTGATTGGTTTGTTTTTCATTGCCACATTTGAGGTTGGTATTTGAGGCAATTGATTTGTTAAGTGCTAAAATTTACTGTTACCCTTGAAAATAAGTTACACTTTCTTAGAAGAGCTAAGCCACTGAGGAAAATTACCTTGTCACAAAAAGCTCTCCTGTAGAAGTAGTCAAAAATGTAAAGCTTAGAGAGAGAAATCATAGCAGCAGAGAAAGTCCTGTGGCATTGACTATCTGCAGGAATTATTACTTAGTCATATGGTAATGTTTTAGCAGTAGTTAGTATTTATAATTTTTGGTCCTGAAATTGTCCATGTAGATCCCTTTACATTTCTAACCTTCGCACCCCTTCAGATATTGAACTAATCAAGAAACTAGCTGCATATCTTTTAGTTAGCAGAAATATTAGTATATCCTTTGTAAACAGAATTAGAATTAGTCAACACAGTTCCTAGATGAATGTGTGGAGTTATATGTTATTTTACAATTTCAGGATTTTTGTGTGAATGTGATGTTGAAATAGTAAAAAAAAAAATTAAGGTGGTTTCAGTTTATTCCAGGATACACGAAGCTTGCAAAAGAGGCAGTGAAATTTTTTAGTCTTCAGTGAAACCGGCTGTATAAACGACATGCTTTTTCTTGCCTGGCTTTCTCTCAAGTCCTATAATGTTTCTTGGGAAACTGTTCATTTAGATGGGAGAATAGAGTTGTCTTAATTGCAGTTTATGCATACCTGAGATGACAAGTCTTTTCTATTATGACAGAGAAGCTGGCTGTTCTTAAGAACTGGTTTAACCTCCCAGATTGCTTGCTTCACATTCATATAGAAGTACTTGAACTGGTTTGTCTGTGTTTTAAGTAGAGTAGATAAGGCTTTCCACAAGTCTGAGAACCTGTTCAGCCTAATCTAAATGCTTGGATGGATGTAGGGTGAGATGAAACTGCTCATGATTTTAATGAATGAGAGTATCTCTCAAGCCTTTTACCTTGCATGCCTGTGATTCTTATTCTGGTATCTTTAAGCTGGAGCAAACTGCTTACCTGTGAATATGTTATTTTATTCTTTTAATGTTTTGCCAACGCCCCCATTTTTCATGTTACGCTCTAGCTTGAGGTGTAATTCTCAAGTTTTTTACCTCTTTGACAGCATCATCAGATGGGTTCCTGAATCATTTTTGTTCAGAATTTTAAAGAGCTTTTACTTCCTACCACTTTAGCAAGTGACCATGATGTTATCTTGAGTCAGTCAGGATAGTGGCACCTCGAGCGAAGCTGAGCAAAGGACTGGAGCCCAACTACTGACATCCCAAAGTTGATATTTATACTTGAGCAGTGTTTGGAACCTACTGTAATTGCAGAACTATTACTCTACCAAAAATCTCCCAGCAGCCTCTTCTGAGACTAGGTGCTGTGGTATAGTTATCCAAGTTGCACTGCAGCCAAAGCAGTTTAGGAGAATGTGGCTGTGAGGTAAACCTGCAATGATACTGAAATTATTGCAGCATATCTAACAAAGATTCACTTTTCTGTTTAAAACTTAGACTCATCCATGTATGAACATACAGATTTTTTTTTTTTTTCTTTGTGTGTAGTGTCAGGAGTGCTTTTAACTCAAATATATCACTGAGTCATTTCTTAAAACATGGAGAGCTGTCAAACATGCATGTGGCAGTTACACTTTAATATGTCTATATCTGAAATCAGTGTGATGGCTACAGGCTTTTGCTATGTAATCTGAGAAATTTTCTTCTTTAACATAGACTAAGATGTGATACTGAAAAGATTGCTTATCATTGGTATGTAAACAGCAGGATTCCTCAGAGGTCACTGCTGTCTGGTTGTAAATTGCAGATTACTGTGGAGATGTCACAAACTTTCTTTCCTTCATTATGATAAAGATCTCCTATTTTGCCATGTGCTGCCTCCACCAAACTGCATCTTGCCTACCTTCTTTCTTTTCCAGCACTCATGGCCAAATATAGTTTCTGTGGTAGACATGTTAAAACTTTTATGATAAATGAGAATTTTGTGAACATTGTACAAGGCTCCTGTTTTGGCACCCTCCATTTTAAAAGCACTCTTGGCATTTCTGTGGTATCAATCTTTTGACATTTCTCCTTTTTTGCTGAAAAATCTTCTCAGTGCAGTGTGTCTATGTTTTCTTTTGTGTGGTGGCCTATCCCCAACTGGAATGATTTGCCTCAGTTGGTATGAAATATAGATACCATGTCATCAAGTACTGTGACAGATTTTGATTCCTCAGGAAGGCTGCTTGCTAATGCTGTGTAGGCACCCTTTTCAGAAATTATCAAATCTGCTGGAATTTACTATGAAACCTGTGTTTTCTCCTACTGTCTAGTTACTTCCTTTTTAGACTATGCAGTTCTTGATCCCTGTGCATCCATGGCTTTAAGTACTCTTCTGGTTTCTTGTAGATGCCAAGATTGTAGAAGACTTGCTAAACCCATTTTAGTCCTTGGTCATTGACGGCAGAGTTGCAGGGTTTCTTTTTCTTCTGATGGTATCATCGTGTCAGCACCTCTTACCTCTTGAAGAAAACATCACATTTCAGGAGTGGTTGATAGTGCTGGTGATGACAGCAGATCAGGAAGATATTTCTGTTTGAATGTGTTGCTGCTTAGACAGGGAATTAAAAACTGTGCTTGCCAGCAGTTGTGGAGCACGGGTCAAGGTACCTGGCAGATCACAA